AACTCATAGTTTGCCACTGCTATATCCAAACAATCATTCACATGATCATTACCCATCCTCTTATTACACCAAGTGTAACAAGACCCTTTAAACCCCAAATCCACTGTTAGCAGTCAGACATGCTTTGAAAATTCATAATCCTTCTAACATCAGCAGGCCTACTTCCCAACTTATCATCAAGAGAAGCAATGTCGTTAAAATCACCAATACAAAGCCATGAGCCATTAATATTACCAAAAATATTCCCAAGCTTGTTCCATACTACCAATTTCTTCTCATCAATTGGAGCCCCATACACAAAGGTAACAAACTTAGGAATTTTAACTGTAGCAGAAGTAATACTCACATGAATAAGGTTCTTTGAATTATACCAGACATTGACCACCACTTCCTTCTTCCACTATAAGGCCAAACCTCTACTCCTCTCCTTTGGTCCAATATAGAACTCCTCAGCCAATTGACACATGCTTCTCAATCTCTGTAACTTCTTATTCTTCATTCTTGTTTCTATTAGGAAGACAATTGAGGGCTTGTTCTTAAAACACTCCTCCCTCAGCTTTTTAACTGTCAAAGCACTCTCTAAGCCTTGACAATGCCACAACAAAAGCATCATTGGCCCTTAGTTAAAAGACATCACCTCACACCACTTCTCCAAAACCCATCACCTCATTACTTCTCTCTATATCTCCCTTCCCATCTCTACTGACACCTCCCTTCTTTCTTCTCCCTTTCTTATCCTTCTTTTCAAAACTCACACACAGCTTCTATCCTCATTTCTATGTATAGCTTCAACTGATGAATCTCCACCATTTTCAATATCAATTTTTCTCTTCCTAATCCCCTCCCCACCACTATCTTCTTCTATTATTCCATTGCACTGTCTCATTCCATTTTTTCAATTATTATTGTATTTTTTGTTCACATTGATTCTCTAATACATGGCAGACATTTTAATCCTCTTTCAATATTTTACCAAAAATAAAAATTATTTTTTCATAAAAATTAGCATTTGATTTAAAAATTTTCAATGTGTTTTTAAGTTTTTTTATATCTTTATTTTGATAGTTCATTTTTTAACAAATAATTTTATATTATGAATTAAATATATTTATATATATATATATATAGTTAGATCTTTATTTGTTTTATATAAAATAAAACAAAAACACGGAACAAACTAAAAATAAAGAAAAAATGTTTAATTAAATCTAGCTGAAATATTTCAAACTGAAATCAAGCCTACTTTTACATTTATGTTTTTTAGGTCTTTTAATAACATCCATAAATCTCTAATTAGACCTCTCAACTTGATTAGGAATTTTTTAAAAGTGTAAGCCTAAATTAGAATTTTGTTATTTCAGCTAGATCTAATTGGGATTCTCCCTAAAAGGAATATTGAAATGAATAATTTTATACTTTTACATTTTTAAAAATGATTGTCCATAAATCTCTAATTAGGCCTCTTAGCTAGCTCATTTTTTTTATTTGTGAATTATTTTGTAATCTAATTCAAATTCCAAATTATTTTATTTCTTATTTTTAGATAAAACAAAATTAAACATTAAATTTCCAAAAAACACCCCAGATTTTTTGTGGATTAGCTTTATCAAAATATGAAACAAAAATTTAAATATATTATCCATAGTTAAGTTTAACCGTCAAATTATGCCGTTTAACCAGTGTCTTTAATGATCAAACTTAATGGCAAATAACGGTTTATGACAAAAATGCCCTGAAATAAAGCTTTCAAAACATATAAGAGCAAAAACAAACTTTCAGGTACTAGATGCTCTTTCATATATCCTTCCGGAATACTTAAGCACCTAATCCCTTTAATCTATGGCCGACATTTAATACATCGACATCACCTACAATAAAAACTCCTTCTCTTCCATTTTTTTCCCACGCAATCCTTGTCTACTCTTTTGTTCTTGTTTCTCCTTCTCTTATTCTCTCTCTAATTTTTCACTCTAAATCTAGAGACAAGGAGGATAATATATAGGATTAAACTATAAATTTATCCCAAAAGTTTTCCCTCAAGAGCGTTAGGTATTCAGATGTTCTTTTTTTTGCTCAATATTATCATGAAAATTTTAAAATCATGGCAATGTCACCTTGGCTATTATTTAGGTTAAGTTTGGCTGTTAATTACCACATATGTTGAGTTGGCGGATCCACATGTCACCCACTACATTTTTCATAGGTTAAGGTGCAAATTTGCTTTGAAAATTTTTACTCAGGATTGCTCTATGTTTGGATTTTTTTTTTAATTCAATGTCGCCCCAAAAATTTTTGAATCATAAAAATGTTATATGCTGATATATCTATGCAATAATTTGGTCTACTAAAGTGATTTAGATTGATTTTCTCCATATGGGCTTGTGATTGGGGGGGGGGGAGAAGACTTTAAAACACAAGATTAAAAAATAAGCTCAAATTTGGTCAATGGTTAAATTGAATGACTCAATGAAAGGAGAATCCCTTCTATACAACATCTTTTTAATTACATGTCGTATACAAAGATACCATATATATTTTATCCAAATTGTTTTAAAGTCTCCTAACTATTATCCCGATTAAATTTGACCATCAGTTGGCCAAATATACTGAGCTTATAGGTTCACGTGTGATCCATTTTGCTTTTTTCCAAGGTGAAGATTTAGCACATTCTCTAGGAAAATGATTGTTTCTATGCTTTCCAAACCCGTGGCTATGCCTGAAATCAATCTCATCATTTTCATCTTTCAAAAATTTTCATGAGCTTCTCCTCTACATATGTTATGTATTATATTTTTTTGGCTCTACTTTTGTGCTTATAAAAAGAACCAAACTAAGAGCCAATGACGAAATAACAAATGTGTGGAAAGAGTTGTTTGTGTGGGAGAAATGGCATTAGAGTTCTAAACTAAGAATGAAGTAAATAACTTGGAAAGAAAATGAAATAGATCACACATGACCTACCAGCTCAATATATTTGGTGAGTTAATGGTCGAACTTAATATGAATGATAGCTAGGACAATAATATCATAATTTGAAAACTTTTGGATACTCAACGTTCTTGAGTAAACTTCCGGGGCAATTTGCACCTTAACCTAGAAAAGAAAATAATGTGGATGACACATCAACCTACCAACTCAGTATAATTGGTCAACTAACAGTCAAATTTAGCCTAGATTACAGCCAAAGCAACGTTGCTATGATTTGGAAACTTCCAGGGTGACATTGAGTAAAAAAAAAAAATGGATACACAGCGTTCCTAAGTGAAAATTTCTGAGATAAATTTACACCTTAACCCATAATATATATATATATATATATATATATATAACACCTTAGATTTATAAAAGAAAATTCGTGTTAAATGAGACAAAAAAAATGCAGAGAATAATTTATATTTTATTATGGGCAAAAAATAAGAATACTAAAAAATATTGCACATAAGCTATAAAACTATTAAAAAAATTGCACGCCATTCAATTAAGATAGTAAAAAAAAAAATTCGGTTAAAAGATAACGGGATAAAATTGTTGTTTTGTTTCTCAAGTTTAGAATAATGACACTTTTTTCCCCAATCAACATTCTTACTGTTTTTAAATAACATTTTGCAGGAGGAATAACAATTGGCCATAATTTTTTATGGCGTTGGCGTTTTGCTCAGGAAAAAATGCAGTGGATTAATGCAATATTTTCAGAAAGTGATCAATTAATATGTTCTCCCACACTTTTAAAAATTATAGCATACGGACAAAATCTTTATATAAATATTACTCATTCTTATCCTTATTATAGACTTTTTTTAGAAAAAAAAAAAACTTTGGTCATTTTTGTAAGCTTATAATGATTTTAATGAGTATTAAATACTTTTTTATATATACTCATATTTAATAAGGATAGTGAGAGAATGAAAATTAATATGATGTTTAGTTACTAATGTCTTATATTAAAGAAAGGATAAGAGAAAAGGCCAACAAAAAAAGAAAAAGAAAGAAAGAGCAGAGAGAGAGAGGTTGTGGGGGAAGAGAGAGAGCTTTATTGTGTGTGATGTGAAGATACTAAATCTCATGTGCCTTTTGTGATATACTACTTTAGGAGCTTTAATTACATGCTTCTTTCCTTTCTAGTTATTGAAGTTTACATGACTTCAAGTTCATAAAACTTGGAACCTTTAAGTCCAAACCACACTCTATACCTTTTGAGTACTCTCACTATTTTGCTTATTTAAATCTGATCTTAGCACTTAATGGCATATTATGCAGAGATACTGCATCTAAACTTTTAGCCGTTATTCTAGACGTAAAACGTTTAGCACATTCAAATACATGCTTATAGAAACCAAATTGACAAAGAGGAAATCAGAAGGTCAAACGAGTCAAATTGTACCTTTTGGTCAAGAAAGTTAAGGGGAAATGAATGCGCTTTAGTTTGTAGGTAGTTCCCTCCATCTTTTAGCCAATTTGCTTTTGCCATATCTCATCATCATCATTATTATGTTCCTTCTGTCTTCCACCATCATCAACTCATCACTCTCCTTCCTCCATTAAGAACCCTATTGTTTCACCATTCGCCATCGTCACAGCACAATTCACACTCATATTTACTGCACCTCCATTGAGCCATGTTCATATGAGAAATAGATCAAGAGCAGGGCTCCTTCATGCGTCTTCAACATCAGAATGCAAGTTTCTGTGAGTATAGCCATTTTGAATTCTTCGTTTTTCTTTTGTCATGTTTTTGTTCCTTTCTGAATCAAGCACGAGACTTCTCGTTTTAATTTTTTTTCCTGAAGACTGGTTGGCATTGGCCTTTTGATATTCTAAGTGATGTTCAGTGGATTCTGTTCCGGGCAGGACACTCTATTATGATATTCTGAGTTCCTGCTGAGTTCGTCCCTTCGCATGGAGAACTCTAAATTTGGTTATGAGCTTAACAAAGAAGAGGGACAATTTGTGCACACCAAAACCAATATGCATTTCCACTCCAACGATGAAGTTTCATTACATCAGACTCCAAAAGGGGGAGGAAAAAAAATTATTCTATACCCTATGCATGCCCAAAATAACCAAAAAAAAAAAAAGAAATCCAATATTTAGCTGGTTAATCTTCTTCAAATCTCTCTCTCGCAACTGGGGACTTTTTTCCTTTTTATCTCTCTATCTCTGTTTCTATTATCGATGTATACATCACTCAGAATTACACAAGCCTATGTACAAAATAGAAAATATAGATCAAAAGCTGGATTGCAGAAAAACAAACCCAGAACACCAAAGCAAACTAAGACAAACCAAAGAATGACACACTGAGCACACGATTCTTTGTGCGAGTGTCAGGGAGGAGGTAAAAGGCACTGTTAGATTTGTCTAAAGATTACAAGAATGTTCCATAACATTCTTGGAGAGGGATGCGTAGCAAAATTTTAAGCTGAATATAGCTCTGCACTTGCAAGCTTAGTAGTCTCATCTCGCCATGCAAAATAGTACTCAGCGTGTTTGATTCCCAAAGGTAGGGAGAAGGAATCAGAGGGGGGAAAGGCACATAGAAGCTTTTCTACTTCAGATGGATCTTGGTTATAGACTCTGTAGTAAGGCTCTTTTGCATGGTGGTGGTTGTGAGGCTTTTGCACTTTGATTCTGAGATGGGGATCCCATTCCCAGTGTTTTCATCAGGAAGTTCCTTTCCTGCAAAACAATAGTTCCAAAGAAGAGTATGATAGTGAGTAATCTTCAGCCAAATGCTGATAAAGAAAATAGTGCTTTTATGTGAATAATTCAAATTGCAGTGACTGATGACCCCCAATGTCCAGAAGGCATGTGGATGATTTAAATTTAGAAGAACAGTATCAGCTTCCATGTGGGATTTGCGTCCTATAATGCTCAAATCACAAATTTTAAATCATTATGCTGTAAGCCAACATGCGGTTCACATTGTCCAACAGGACTAGCAAACTAGCAGCTTAGCTGAAGGTACAAGCAAAAAGGCAGTTCTGCTTGCCCATGGAAGATGACAATGGCTAGCAGCTTATGTTCTAAATCTCGTTACAAAATAAATCTTACATCAGGATTTTCTATCAGCAAATAACAAGTACCATCCCAAGCTATCAAGGCAACAAACAAAATAGTGTGTTACATGTGACATGTAGTCACTAAATTTGTCTCAGAAATAAAAACAAACCACTATTTTTTTTTTCTTTGGGTTATTCATTACGAACTAGGAGAAGCAGGCAAGACGAATAGACCTGAACTGGATATTCATTTGAAATAAGTATAATATATATTTTTCCCATATAAATGTTGGCAATTTTGTGACAGTTAGCTTTTGCCACAAGGTCTTTAAGTTCCAAGACCACACAAGAGCCTCAAAAAGTTACATAGTATCCATGTTTTGTTGCTATAAGAGGTATTTACATGGGTTTGCCTTAGTATTATTATGTTCATACAATCGTAACATAATACGTCCTTTTAATGATCTTACCTATTTTGAAACTAACAATACTAATTTTTCCTATCCTCATGAATGGGAAAATACCATGTTATTTGTGTTGTTATTTGTATTGCATGAATATCATTGGAACTTTTCCTCCGTCCCACCTAGATGCATTAACGAGCCGTATACAAGCCCACTTGGCAAGGCAGAAAGCATACTAGTGAGTTTTATTTTGCATATCTTGTACATTTACATTATTTCTCAACTGACTCTTTATCCTGCAACTAATACAGTTTCAAGTTATACACAAATGCCTACCCTACCGCCTCCCAGCTCCATTTTGCAAGGCCTAGCGCAATTTTATGGTCAAAGGGTTATGGGTAAGCCCTTTTTGTAATTTACCGATTTATCTACAGCTCCAATATTGAGTTTAATACTGCAAACTTTGAACTTGAATCAACAAAAGATGCAATGGAATACATTATGTTTACGATTATTCAGTGAATGCTATCTAAATATTATTGTTTCAGGACATCTTTGGGCAATAATGGCAATAAATATATTTATTTAGAGCTACCATGGAACATTTATCAATAAATTTTCATGGGTCTATGATCAGCAGAGATGCAGCTGTCACCTACTGTTGCATTTACAGGTACCTTGATTCTACCATACTAAACCTCAATGATGATAAGTTCAGTTGTCAGTTTCTGTTACGACAAGTTGCACAGGAAAAATACCACTACCAGTATGTCTACCACACCAAAAAAAGCTGAAAATGAGCAGGTAGCTCAGGTAGACGTAAACAGCAATTTGAAAATTCTCCAACTGATGAAGTCGATAGAATAAGAAATATAAATACAATTGCGGATTTTACTGCTATGCCCAGTATTATTGACTTAAAAAGTGCTTAAGCAAGAAGTGCTGGAGAAACTTACACTTTCTGAAAACTGTGGGCTGGGAATTCCTGCAGCCAAGGATCTGAACAGAGGAGTAACTTGAACAGGGGAACTGAACTCTCTACTTGACAAGGCAGAAACAATGAAATCATCGTTTATCTGTTCTTCAAAAGATGGCAAGATATCTGCTTTTACAAAGATATGTATTATTAGCAGTTCTGCTTCACAAACATGTTACACATTACCATGTTATGGAAAACAGTAACTGATTTGCCCTATGGACAAGCACCTTGATCCGCAGTCGAAGCACAAAGAACTTGCTTCTCAGAACGACTAATTCCTCTTTTCCCCTCACTTTCTGTAGGCTTCCCTTCGGTTCCAACATTTTGATGCAGTGAATGTTCCAAATTATCAAAAGCTGAATGGGCCAGTATAGTTGATCCTGTACTATATTCAGAGCTGCTTGGAGAGTCCTCATGTAGCTCCGGTTGCCTAGAAAATATACAGAAAGTATTAGATACTCGGTGGGGTAAGCCTGCCAGGAGTTATGATTTCAATAATTTCAAAGTACCTTGAATATGGTTGGCTCCCCTCATGACCACTCTTTATGTCCTCCGCCATATTTTTGAGATTTTGAAGCTGTAAATCTGTGATTTTATATCTCGAAAGATCTGATTTGTTTGTTCGGTTCAGAAAGTCTTGCAGAACCTAACATCATTATTCGCAAGTGTTAGGAGATACTTGAAGTTAATAAACAATGTTAGAGATACTGATAAAATCATATTATCAGAGCCAACATAACTGAGGAGTCAAGAGTGCTGCTGCAGTTTCTCTAATTAAATAAAAATTCACCATATGAGATGGTGGGCTATACTGAATAATAAACTTTTTAAAGTCGAATGGGCTTTTTATGTGACAGGGTATGTTGAAGTCTTAAAGATATTGAAGATCTTCTCCTATGTTCTATAGATCTCAACTTGCGAAGCAGAATTGATCAGGGGGCTTAGTAGAACTAAGTCAAGCTTCTTTTTATTGATTATATACTAGCGAACTGATAAACACAGCTATTTTAGATTTTGAAGTCAACATAAACATGAATAGATCGTGATTTTTGCTATCTTTAAATGGATACTTTTGATGGGGGTTGATAGGATCAGCTTGATCCCTCCAATATCGATAATATGATGCAGACCTGACCAATGAAGCCATTTCAGAGTTTTTAAGGCTAAGGAAAAACTGCTAAACTGACTTTCAAGATCTCCATATAGATAGGTTTGGTTCATGCCATGTTTCTTTGTTCCTTCGTCAGTTGCAGTTTTAGAGAAAAATTCCATGATTTGGGCTTTCTTTAACACTAACTGGTCAGGTAATTCATAAGTAAGCTCATAAAATGTTTGTAGTCAATAACAGCAAGTTCAGAAGCTATCAGTCCTCACCTTCCATGCATTCTCAAGAGTCTGGTCCATGTTCTCTGTATTAACTTTCACTGCAAGTGAGCTTAATAATTCTGCTTGCTGCATCAACATGGTTATCTTTGGATCATTCTTTTTCAGGAATGTTCCCTGAGTCTTGTTATTCTGGGCTGGAAAAGCATGACAAATTAAGAATCATATTAGAATGTAACATTTACCAGAGATTTGTTTGCTGAATATACTAATGATTTACTTTCAGATTTCACGTCATAATAATTTCCATAACCAACAACATTTACTTCAAGGACATTACCGTAACCGCTGACTTTGGCACTGCAGACAGGACGTTGGTGCAAGCTGTTATCCTCGAAATTAGATAACACAGCAAATGGCACTCTAGGTTGCTGACTAACTGGCGCTCCAAATTGTCTATGTGATCTTTCTCCATAGGCGATCCTAGCTGAAGCATCAGGGATGTGGGCCCTTTATATTACAATTAAAAATAACAGGTCACTATGTTTGCACTGTTCATTTTTGTAGACTTGGTATATTTTGATGCTTAAAAGTATTTCATACCTTATCTTCTTAATTGATGCTGCGGCCTCTGATGCTGCATCTGTAGTGTAGACTTGTTGGAAAATGATCCTTTTATTGTTTGAATTTATCAATGGAGGACTATTATTCTCTTTGGCCAAGGCTTCGTATTTCGCTCTCTTTTTGCAAAGTGTGGTGAACCGGTTTTTCACAGCGTTATCCGTTCTGTGTAGAAATAGTAGAATTAGGTACATTCATACTAACTTTTCTCTAGAAATGCAATCTCTATACCTCGCATTTGCATGAAGGAAAGAATTAATATTTACCTGCCTGAAACCACCTTAGCTATTTCTGTCCATCTGTTGCCAAATATCTTCTGAGCCTATAGAGAATAGTAAGATACAAGTTCACAAATTCCACATAGGAAAGAGAGGGGCAAAAGGGCGAAAAACCAGAGGATGAAGAAGAAGAAGAAGAAGGTTTGAATGAATTATGAGTAGTGTAATCTACAGAACTGAACATGCAAAATATATTGGTCGCTTTAAACAGTGGCCAGTCAGTAGGCCAGGCTTTGATGCAAAATACAAAATTTGTCATAGTATTAGCAGGTAATATTTTCAAAGTTTCTGAGAGAAATAGCAGTGACATGAATATGTCACTTACTACCAAAGAGGGAACTTAAATTTACCTCACATAATAGCATATCCTCTTCTGGTGACCACCCTCCTTTCTTGAAATCAGAATTTAAGTATGTGTACCACCTGATATTTCATTGATCGCTTTAACACCGGAATCAGATTAAAATAACAACAAAACAAAAAAAACATGGGACTAAACAATAAGAAATTGTTAAGAAACATGACCAAAACACGTATCAATTCATAAACTTCACCTTCTCCTGCATTGTCTTGTTGTTTTGTCCTTGAATTTAGATGCAATAATTGTCCAACTGCATATGATTATTGCAATCGAAAGAAAATCTCTTAGTTCCACATATCCAAGAAAATGGTCCACCGACTAATTAAATGAAAAGAAGAAGAATCAAGTTAAAGAATCAGTACTTGTCTGTTCCATGAATGCTAATCTGCTCTCTAAGAATATCATCCTCCTGCAACTTCAATAATCCGTGTGAGAAAATACCCAAAAGAGATAGAAGATAAATCAGGGGAATATATAACATAAGAAATAATAAAGACAGACCTCTTGAGTCCAAGAGACAATGTGACGCTCCTTCTTCTTGGATTCTTCCTTATCTTGCTGATGCTGCCTCTGCTTCATGTCTTGCATATTGTGCTTTGAGGGGTTTATTCTATTCTAATGCGGTGAGACGCTCCTTCCTTTTGCAGGAGCCAACTTGCATGCTAAAGCCAAGCCAACGCTCTTCCCTTTATAAATAATATGAAAGCTTTATGATTAGTGGAGCGAGGGGGCAAGGAGGGGAAAAAAAAGGAGAACCCCTTCTTCCTTCTTTTTCTTTATCTTTCATTCACCTTTACACCGATACTGTATTAGGTTTTTTCTTTTGCAAAACGGAACCGTAATAAGCACAAATCCGATCCTCAAAAGCTATTAGGCATTACCTTCCAAAGGAATGGCCTCGGATCCTAACTTTTCGGACCCCTCCTTTGATCTCAATCACTATCCTCTGTAATCAAAGTCACAAAAAAACACAACACAATCCAGTGGTCAAATTAGGGAGCCAAAACCACATGAAACTCCAAAAGATACCAAATGGGCATTAAAACATACATAAAAGGTTCACAAGAGGGGAAATGGGAATGGATCAAAATCGTATTTTTCCGGAGCTCCGAGAAGTATTTTGATGATGCATTGGTATGTAATTGATTACCCAGAAAAGCTTCGTAGATCTAGAGATTGAAATGCCTTGGGAATATATCCAAAAGAAAGTTCAAACTTGTCAACCAGACAAACACCTCGGCTATGAATGCTGTCTCTGAGATTCTGCTATCTGGGTTAGACTCAATGGCTCTCGCAAGGGCAACCAAAAACAAATCAACTGTAGAGATAGATTGAACAAAGACCACACTTTTTAGAGAATCCTAACAAGACTGTTCCTCATCTGGCTTATCTTGTTCATTTGTTTTCTCCTCTCTGCTTCTCTCACTGTAACTTTTTTAAAACGGTCACTCACTGAAGTATTGGAAAGAGAAAGAGAAAGAGAAAGAGACAGAGAGACGAACCCACAAAAATAATAATAATAATATTTGAAAGCAACCGATTGTTAGGTTAGTGCGCGGGTATGAAGGGAAACTTGAATACAACGCTGAAATCCATGACTGTGTACAGAGTGAAGTAGTATATCTTAATGGGTCATGGACAATGGGGACGAAGACTAATGCCCAATTCGCAGCTTCCACCCAAAAAAGAAAAGGTACCCTTATGATTATACCAGAAGAAATAAATAAATGAAACGAAAGCAACTAGCAATTATCTAGTTCCAAAGTGAAGGTCTACTTTTATATGCGTATATATATAGAGGTAGATGCATAAGTTGCCTGTTTGAATTTTGGTGATTTTTAAGGAGCCATGAGAAGGTACGTGATCGAACCAGCTCAGACTCACAATCACAACCCAGTTTTCGCATTGAAATTAATTGCTCTCTCGTGTGATTCATTTATCCCCTTCATCTTTTTTTGCTTATTCAGAGACAAATGAAGGTGGGAGGGACTGAACAGATTTTATTCTCTGTTTTGTGAGATAGCTGTTTGTTGTGTTCTGTGTTTGGTTTGTCGTGTGAAATTTGGGATTCTCTCTCTGATCAGCAGTGTCGGTAAATTTGAATTCTCGGGAGATAGATAGGCCCAGCATGGGGATTTCTTGCATTATACGTGAATTCCTTTTACTCTCCAAACGCTCGCTTACCATACCACCAGTGCGTGAAAAAGTTAATGCTCACTCTTTTGGGTGGAAAACAGAAATAGGCATTTGTTTTTTTCCTTTTTTTTTTTTTTAAGAGAGAGTGAGAGAGAGAGAGACGACTAATATTTTGGTAAATTTTTAGTATGATTATAACTCGGAACTTAGCTGATATTCAAAATTATTGGTATCATATCATATCGTGTTCTATTATTTTAAAAAATTTATGAAATATCATATTATGTTTCTTTTTAAAATTTGTAAATGTTAATCATGAGAAATTCATATATCATCTATGACTTTATCAATTAGCACAAACTATTTTGTTAAAAAGTACTTTTCTTATCATAAATGTATGATTCATTTTGTAGTATAAATTAAATTATAAAATAGGTCTCATATTTAGAATTGAAAAAATATATTAGTACATACGGCACAGAAAGATTATTTATGGTAGTTTTTTAGTCATGTGGCCTACATTTGTTTCTCAAAAATTTTGTGAGCTTTTTACTATTTTCCTTTGAGATCTTTGTGCCTTTGAAGTCTCTCCCCACTGTAAGAGGAACCCAATCAAAGATTCCCACATTTAATCTGCCCAAATAAAGAAGGACTTTAATCACACTAGCTATCAGAATAAATGAATCTCTGACAAGTTAGAAAATAAACATAGATGAAGAATAAAGTATAGTCTAGAAAATTTTCCCCACCCTCCTATAAATTTTTTTATTATTTAACATGTTAGTCCCTGTAATTTCGCTTGAATTTTTATTAAATTATGGTAATATTTCTATTTATTAGATGCTTACAATTTCACCTTTTTTTAATCAAATTCTCTAATTTTTTATTAGGTCTTAATATAATTTCACATGTTTTTAATCAAGTTCTTAAGTTATTTTAATATTTTTATCAATCACTTAAAATTATAAGGATTAAATTAAAAATCAGATTTTAGTAAAAAAACAAAATATCAGGTAAAATGATAAAAGGAAAAATATAGGAACATGATAAAAAGGAAAAAAATAGAAACCTGATAAAAAAATATAGGAACCTAATTAGAAATGAGTTAAAAAATTAAAAGGACTTGTTGATTAATTATCTTATGAATTTTTCATACCAAACAAAAGGGAGCAAAATCTCTCATTTTCCCTTCTCCTAAATTCCCCTTATGCCAAACATTGTTTTAGTAGGAATTATCTGTTCACGTACCTAATTAAAATTCTTCCCAAAAAAAAAAACAGTTATCAATATATAACTATATCATATATTAATTTTGGTGGCTGGGAGAAATTTTGACACCTGTAAATCATATACTCCTCCGATCCTTAATATAAAACCTATTTAACTAGTTTAATTAGATTAAAAAAATTAGGTAAATTAGTTAATTATAAGTAGAGCTGGTAATACGGGCTGGGCCCGCGGGCCCAGCCCGCTAACCCGCCAAAAATGGGGGGCTCGGGTTGGCAAAATGCCAGCCCGCCAAGGTGCGGGCTACTCCAGCCCGCACCGTTTTCAGCCCGCTTTTTTTTTTTAAAATTTTAATTTTTATATAATTTCTAATATGTTATACAACATAATTGGAGGATTTTAACCCCCAAATTTCATATTTACATCTTCTCATCCATGTAATTGCATATGTAATACATACATAAAAGATCTACTTAATTAATTTGGATAAGAAAAATAGTCAAATTAATTATTTAGAAAAAAAATATGTGTTAGTTTTTCTAAAATATCTTCTCAAATTATAAATTAATCCTCACATTATTTTATTATAACTCATTACTCAAGTTTAAAACTCCAAATCCAATTTTAACATTACAAACTAAGTCCAAACTTATACAAGTAATAATTTTTTAAAAAAAAAAAAGTTAGGCGGGCCGGCGGGCTAGCCCGCCAGCCCGCCTTGGCGGGCTTGGGCTGGCAAAATGCCAGCCCGCACCGCTTTTGGCCCGCACCGCCAGCCCGCATTCCCAGCTCTAATTATAAGCAACATGACATGTTTTTCCTAAAACACCATAATTATCTTTCTTAATATTTTTCCTCTTTCTGTTACTTGATTATGCTTGAGAGAGGATCAATAGGATAATTTAGAAAAAACTGATAAATATGATAAATGAGTCTTATATTTAAGATCAAAATCAACTTAATAATTAGATCCTATATTAAAGATTAGAGGAGTATAATATCTATACTTCAGGATGATTTTCAAGGAAAAGCTCAAAGTATAGATAGAAAATGGGTATGATATCGACACACAAACACACACCCACGCACACACATATATACATAAGATTTAGTTTGTAGCAATTGCGGACTTTCAAAATATTTGAATTAATAAAAAGAGTTTTAAAGGCATTTTGAAAAGCAAAGTCATCTAGTTTATCTAAAGTACTTCCAACCATAAAGATCGATCTTAAACTAAACTTGAATTCTCATTAGTGCAGGTAGCAAAAATCTACATCGGTTATGAAAGGTTTTTTTTTTTTTTAATGCCGCTTATAAAGTTAAAGATTAGACGTATATTATGAATCATATATAGTAAATATAGACATATTTACGTTGGGAAAAGATTGTGATGTAGGTATTCAATTCATTTATCTACTTTACTAATTTAGTAATTTGTTGATGATGATCTTGAATCACATGTGCCTTAAAGATTCACTTATTAATCAGAGATTTCCAATAGATTCTATAGTTGGAAAAAGAAAATGATATGCCTAACATTTACCATCCAATTAAGCTAAAGAAGATAGAGAAATAAAGAGAGACCTATCAAATTTATAACTCACCTGAAAAATGTCTTGAGCTAAAGAACAGGGAAGGGCCTTCAAAACGAAGAGCGAAATGGTGTGAGGAGAAACTGTGAATGAAGAAAAAGAAGGAGAGCTTAAAATTGAAACTCACAAGTTTATAACTCCAAAAGTCCTGGCTACTATTAGGAATTCTATATATGTAATGAAAACTAATGATGACGGTGAAGAAACATAGACAAATTAAATTAAAGGTGATTTGGTATCATATAACATTGTTTATATTAGGTATCATTTTTCAGATAAAAAAAAATATTAGGTATATCATTTTATTAGAGGCCTGTTTGACGCACTACTAGATACTAAATATTAACATATCTCTGAAAGAGATTCAAACATTTATTCACTATGTTGTAAGAAGCTAGTTAGTTTTTTCATTAGATCCAATTCTTATTCTTATTCTTTTTTTCTTTTCAGTGTCTTTCCAACTAGATCTAATTCCTGTTAGTTAAACTTGATTTTGTTGTTTCCTCATCTAATCTGACCATGTATTAACAAAATAGTTTTAGCCCAAAAATTACAAATGGTGCAACGGAAAGGGAGGATGGAGCTTGGAGGGGTGATCCTATGCATCACAATAACCAAAGGACACCTACATATTATGCGCTTTTTTGAAAAAAAAAATAACAGAAAATACTTGTTGAATTTTAAAATGATAAATAGGTGATTTTGAAACATTTTGATTTTTGAATTGTAAAAATCACTATAAGTGTAGTCAAAATCATTGCAATAATAGTCAATATGACTTATTTATCTTTTTAAAATTTAACAGGTATTTTTATGTCATTTTTTCTTTTTTAAAATCAACTTTTTTTCACGATCATATATCATGTTATCAAAATGGCATTGAAATAAATAAGAATTTTATCTTAGTAATTTGAAACTTAATTGTCATTTGATATTGCATTCCGCTTTCGTCTTAAG